CTGTTTATCAATTTGCACTGGCTACCAATAGCTGCTCGCATAAAATTCAAGGCATTAATGTTTGCCTACAAAACCACCACTGGCTCTGCACCCCTTTACTTAAAATTCATTACTTCAGATTATGTGCCCTCTAGAAGCTTGCGTTCTGCAAGTGAACGACGCATTATTGTACCATCCCAAAGAGGCACAAAATCACTTTCACTGACTCTTAAATTAAATGTTCCCTCCTGGTGGAATGACCTGGCCAACTCAATCCCAGCAGCTGAGTCCTTAGCGATCTTCAAGAATCGGCTAAAAAAACATATCTTCCATCGTTATTTGACCCTCTAACTTTAGCACTCTCTATTCTAATTCTATTCTTTATAAAAATAAAAATAAAAACTTGCCCCTTTTAAACTTGCACTCTATGTATTTACTACCTGCTTGTTTTCTTAAAAAAAAAACTAACACTTGCTTCTCTAATCTTTTGTATTCTATCTATTTTAAATTTAAATCTATCTAAATTTGATTTATTATATGATTTAAAGAAAAACTTGCTACGTGTACTGCATTAAGCTAACTGAGACTTGTTATAGCACTTGCATATCATTTGCTTTTTGTTGATTTTGATTGCTTCCATTGTCCTCATTTGTAAGTCGCTTTGGATAAAAGCATCTGCTAAATCTCTAAATGTAAATGTAATGTAATGTAAATGTTTTTTATGACTAAGTCATTCTCCTCAAATGCTATTGAGCTTTAAATTTGCGTTTGAGCCCATTCGGTAGAGAGTAGAATTTTTGACGTATGATTTACTGTTTTTTTTTTTTTAATAAATATCAAAAATGTAAAAGGTGTGCATTATAGTTGCCAGCTAGATGAACACTTTACAGTTGTTTTTATGACCATAAGTCATTCTCCTCAAATGCTATTGAGCTTTAAATTTGCGTTTTTTAGCCCATTCGGTACTGAAAAAAATCTAATTTTTTAACAAATGATGTCCAGTTTATTTTAAAGGGGTGGTTCACTGTTTTTTTTTTCTAGGCTTGATTGTGTTTATGGGGTGCAGTCTAACATGTGTTAATGCTTCATTTAAAAACAAAAACAAATTTTCACATAATTTACCTTCATTCCACACCGCTCTGTCCCTTCTCTGAGAAACAGGCTGATCTTTTCCTGTTTTTATGAAGCCCCACCCTCAGAAATAGGCAATGGGCTCTGATTGGTTAGCTAGCCCAGCCTCATTTGTAAGTCGCTTTGGATAAAAGCATCTGCTAAATCTCTAAATGTAAATGTAATGTAATGTAAATGTTTTTTATGACTAAGTCATTCTCCTCAAATGCTATTGAGCTTTAAATTTGCGTTTGAGCCCATTCGGTAGAGAGTAGAATTTTTGACGTATGATTTACTGTTTTTTTTTTTTTAATAAATATCAAAAATGTAAAAGGTGTGCATTATAGTTGCCAGCTAGATGAACACTTTACAGTTGTTTTTATGACCATAAGTCATTCTCCTCAAATGCTATTGAGCTTTAAATTTGCGTTTTTTAGCCCATTCGGTACTGAAAAAAATCTAATTTTTTAACAAATGATGTCCAGTTTATTTTAAAGGGGTGGTTCACTGTTTTTTTTTTCTAGGCTTGATTGTGTTTATGGGGTGCAGTCTAACATGTGTTAATGCTTCATTTAAAAACAAAAACAAATTTTCACATAATTTAACTTCATTCCACACCGCTCCGTCCCTGCTGTTATTTGTAAATGCTACTGCTTATGTTAGCTTTCAATATATGGTTTTATCCTGATTAAAGCTTTAATACAGTAAGGCAACCACATGCGCGTCCATGTTTAACGCTTCTCATAGCTATGTGAAAATACTAAGTGTATAATTGGAACAGTTCATTGTTGGAGCTGAGCTGAATGAGAGAAAGAGATAGAGAAAGAGAGATGCAGAGCGTGTGCAGAGCAGGCGACGCGAGGAACAGTATTGAGAACCGCTGCTTTAGAACATTGATTTTGAAACTTGTGAA